GCTGCCAGCTACGTGGGCACGCTCTGCGTTGTTTGCAGCTGCACAAAGGAAGCACTCAGCCGCGTTTGTGCAGGAAGCTACCTTGTGACCTGGCTTACCGCATCTAAAGCACCAGTTGCTTCTGTCGGTTCGCTCTTTGCAATAAGCGGCGATGTGCCCGAAACTGAGGCATCTGAAGCAGCGACGCTGGGCCGAGCGCTCCCTGACCCTGCACATGGTCCATCCTATCCTAATCCTGCCATCGGACAGGATCTTCGATGCCAGGCTCGGCTCCACTCCCAAAAGGGCTACTTGTGTTCCAGAGAAGCCAGGGCGAAGGGACTTCACCCTGATTGCCTCCTCCTGTCCGCTCGTTCGGGCTTTAATAGCTGCCACTATTTCGTCCTTCGTGGTAAGGTCGTCCAGGTCGCGGATCTCGATGGTGGTCTCGCCTGTGACCGCACGAACGCTCGCTGCCTCGCCCAGCACCTGGGAAAGGGTCTGTCGCATCTTGAGAGCGTTTGCATCCTTCGCTGCCAGTTCCAGCAGGAGATCGCCTTTTGCCGTGCGCCTAATCTTTTTAACGTTTTGGCTGACATCATTGAGTTTGCCATCTTGCTGTCGGGTAACCAGTTTGAGGACATCGCTGTATGAGGATCCTGCGTTCCCCGTTATTATGAGCACGTCGGGGCGGCTCTTCTTGGGCTGGCTTATCTTGGGTATGAGCATGTCCTTCTGTCCGTCTGTCTGTCTGTTTCTACGCAAACTAGTCTCTCAGTTTTAAAGCTATCGACTTAAAACTTTGCACACACCCTTATTTCCTTTAAACGCAGTATATAAGTCGGAACGACCGGGATCGGCTGTCTATATCCTATAGCTGCCACATAACTGAACGATCGGAAATGACCCAACTTTCGTGTTTTTGAAGATAGAAAGGTAGAACTTAGAACAGATTATATTTTTGGTTAGTTAATCCGATCTACCATTCCATAAGGATCGGCCGAGTATATCCTTTAGCTGTCATATAACGATCGGAAAAGCCGCATCTTTCGTATTTTATAAGATAGAAAGCTGGAACTTAGTACAGATTATATTTTTGGTCAGTTTATCTGACCTACCAAATTCCATAAGGATCGGCCAACTATATCCTATAGCTGTCATATAACTGAACGATCGAAAATGACCCAACTTTCGTGTTTTACTTAGTACACATTATACTTAGTACAGATTATATTTTTGGTCAGTTTATCCGACCTACCAAATTCCATCAGGATAGTCGGCCGATCCTAAAAATAAAATAAATACTTTTATATAAATTCCGATCCGGGCCGTTCCGACTTATATACTGAGTGTAAAGGAAAGAAGGGTGTGTGCAAAGTTTCAAGGCGATAGCTTTAAAACAGAGAGACCAGTTCGCGTAGAAATGGACTGACAGACGGACAGACAGACGGACATGCTCATATCAACTCAGGAGGTGATCACTGCGTTGCACACTTTTGACCAAAATTATAATACCCTCTGCAAGGGTATAAGAACATTGTTTTTGTAGGGGGGCGATGCTGCCGCAAAAAGATCTCAGTGGCTCGAAAAAGAAAAAGTCGGGGACGTCGTGAGGTTAGGTTCAGTTCAAAAACGCATTCAGATTTATTCGCTGCTTACATGGGACTAAAAACAAACTTAACTTAGAAAAATAAACGGACGATCGACGACGGCCGACGAGCGAGAGAGAGTGCACAGAGGGTCGAGCGCGGATGCGCTCTTCAGTGCGGGTGCGCTCTTCAGTGCGGGTGCGCTCTTCAGTGCGGATGCGCTCTTCAGTCCGGATGCGCTCTTCAGTGCGGATGCGCTCTTCAGTCCGGATGCGCTCTTCAGCGCCGATGCGCTCTTAAACTTAGCTGAGCGGCACAACGGCCCCTCACCTAAACATCCCGCCCCCTTGCAGCCAAATTGACTCAGGATTGGTGCAAAGCCAATTTTCCGGACTTTATCACATCCAGGGCCACCATACTCGCCAGATCTTAATACCATTATCGGAAGAAGACCTGCGGCCCATTTTGTTAAATTTCCAGAAACGTTTAGGGCTCTGCATCGCAGCCCAAGGAAGCCACTTTGAAACCGGCTGAATATAACATATGATAACACAATACCTATTTAATAGTTGTGTATCTCCATTGCAACAAATTCGAGCGGCGATTTTTTTAAGAACCAAACTTTTAAAGGAAATTATTTAATTAACGGCAATAATTTAGATCTCATAATAAACCAAAATAATAACAAGTGCCTGAAAAATTGTAAACAAGGTAAACAAGTCAATCAGCTGTTTTAGTGTCTTCGCACTCCCCTAAATCGTTCCATCGTTAAAACAGGCATGCACAAGACTCTTGCAGAACAACAAAAACTTAAAGCAATCAGCCTTTTAAGTGACCCCGACTGAAATATATCCTGTTCCTATCTCAGTAAATTAATTTTTAATGATTCGTAAAAACATATACAAGTATATACAAAACATTTATTGCTAACACTTAGTCTCATCCCTAAAAAAAAAATGTACGATGTATGCTGAAAAATTAAAATATATAATATAACAAATAATACTATATTATTTCTTTCGTTATTTCACCAAATAACGAATACCCAAATTTTGTTAGGGTAGCAAGCCTGAAAAGTTAGAAAAATCAAAATTTTATGCGCTGGCTTCAAATGCGCTTACTCGCTCTGGGGCCTGAAATTTTATGCGCTGAATGTGTGCCACGCATACATGCATGCAACGATCAATCCAAGCGCAGGCCAACCTGCTTCATCGCGCTGCTTTCAGAGACTGAGAAACAGAAAGCATTCAATGAGAATAGAGAGTAAGATTTCTCTCTGGGGCCTGTCGCAAGAAATTTTTGCGCCAATTTTCGTTGTTTGAAATGGGTTGTTATATGCTGTATGGTTAGTGCTTAAATCCTCATAATAGACATGATGTCAAAACGTCAGGAGGAAGGGCTGTGTAGCTGTGTTTGAAGCCTTCTAAAGTACCTGTAGCTGCAGCTTTCTGGTATTCGCACCAAGACTCTTCACCTATTTGACATTTCTCGTGCTATGGGTTCTCGTCAGTTGAGCTATAGGTATAATAAATACCCGAAACCAATATACTATATTTACAAGTAACTGCTTTTTACCAAAACGTTCAACGCTCTTTCCTGTACATTGCCCAATTAGAGAAGAAACATCAAATAACGAAGAAAATCTTCTTATCTTCCACGTTCCATCGCCCAAAAAAATCAACTCTAAGGTTTTTTCTAGGTCATTTGTCTCACACATTGCTTTATTTCTTCTTCGGCAGCTGAAGAAAAGAATTCAGTAGAAAAACTTTTTGTGGAAGTACAGGGTGGTCCACGTAGCGGACCACTTGTTATTCCAAGAATCCACAAACAATTAAGGACCTGAAAGCCGAAATCGGCGAAGTTATTGGCCAGATACAGCCCCACACGCTCGAGAACGTCCTCAAAAATTGGTCTAATCGCATCGGCTACTGCCACGCCAGCCGCGGCAGCCACATGAATGATGTTGTGTTCCTTCATTAAACCGGAAGAATTAAGCTTCACAATGAAAAAATCAGAATTGAAAAATAATTGACGCGTTTTCATTTTATAGCCATTTCAAAAGGTGATTTTGAATGCGCGTGTCCAACTTCGGTTGTGAATTTGTTTTGTGTTAACTCCTCCACCTTTAAAATCGAGTGCGTGTCCACGCTCGTTGCGGTGATTGATCTCGTTACCGAAAGCTACTTTGTTGATGAGCAGTACTTTGACCCTTTTAAACAAGAAGCGAATTGCTATTGCTGCAAGTCCCGTGATTATTATGGAACCAATTAAAAAATCGGCTGTATGCGATGTGGTTTTCAAGAGTTCCAAGGTTTTCGTATAGTTGATGTTTAGCTCTTTGATCAATTCCAGTGATAGCTTCTCTTCTATCTTTCGAATGGTCATCTCTGTTTGGAGAATGGCTGGCATCGGTTGATAGTGCACCGGGTTTTTGTTGGTGAAGGTCTGTCCATCAATATTAATTGTAGAATTGCTGAAGTTGATAACGAAGGTTCCGTTGAGACTTGTGGATGTTCCATTTATTTCTACGTTGCCAGAGAATTTGTTGAGAAGAATTACACCAAGTGCGAGTTCATCAATAATTGGAATGTGTTGGTTGTTGATTTGAGTGCAGATGGCAGGGCGACTTTTTAATAAATTTGGTAGGCAAGAAGAATTACTTATGTCTATCATATTTCTATTTTTACAAATTGTTAATTCATTATAATTATTTGTAGGGGGGCGTTGTTGCCGCAAAAGCTTCCAGAAATGGGGGTGGAAAAAATAAGTCGGGGGCGTCTTCAGTAATTTCCAAAAGAAACGCGTTCAGCTTTATTGGGCTGCTTACATCGAATACTGACTTAAAAACTAGTACCAAAAGAGACGATCGACGACAACCAACGAGCGAGAGAGAGGGCTCAGAGGAGCGAGTGTGTATGCGCTCTTTAGCGCGGGTGCGCTCTTTAGCGCGGGTGCGCTCTTCAGCGCGGATGCGCTCTTCAGCTGAGCGGCACCACGGCCCCTCACCTAAACATTCCGCCCCCCTTGCAATCGCTCGGGGTGCAACAGCTCCCTCGTCGTTACAGCTGGTGACAGGCTACGGTCACGACCCATCCAAAAACGGTGTTCTGGGCCACTGACAGCCCGTGGGTACGCGGGTACATTCGGGTACCTAAAGATCCGGGTCCCGGTGTCAATGCGGTGTCAATACCCCGGTACCTCGAGTACATCTGCTCTCCAGTGACTGGGCGTTGCGTGGGCATGGCGACATCGTGCTGACTATCACTGGCGGAAATATGATGAAGGAACAAATAACGTTATCAGAATTGGTGTGAATTATGATTTGGAACTACGGGCAGAGCTACGAGACAGCACAATGGACAGGAACATTGGAGCGAAATAAATGCTTAATTATTGTGGGCAGGCGGACGCTTCCATCGGAAGAAGCACAACCTAATCAACGGGCCGCTTGACGAGCCCTCGCGCGGTGCGGATGTCGATCCCGCGGACATGGCCATCGGATCCTGGATACACCACGTCAACACCGCCTAATCGCCACTCATTGGACGGAAGGTTCTCCTTCTTGATGACCACCATATCCCCAACGCGGAGATCCATCGTAGGGGCTCGACACTTATTCCTCTTGAGGAGCTCCTTGAGGTACTCTTCCTTCCATCGCAGCCGAAATTGCTGCTGAAGAGCTTTCAGGTGTTGCCAGCGGTCAATAATGGATGTGGTATCCCCCTTTATCTCGGGTTCAACCGTGGCGAGAAGTGGGCCCCCCACAAGAAAGTGCCCGGGTGTAAGAGCCAATAGATCAGCAGGGTCTTCAGAAAATGGCGCGAGCGGCCGTGAATTCAGGCACGCCTCGATCCATATCCCCAACGCGGAGGTCCCTCGTAGGGGCTCACCACTTGTTTCTGTTATGGAGCTCCTTGAGGTACTCTTCCTTCCATCGCAGTCGAAATTGCTGCTGAAGAGCCTTGAGGTGTTGCCAGCGATTAATGATGGAAGTGGTATCCCTTTATCTCGGGCTCGACCGTGGCGAGAAGTGGGCCTCCCACAAGAAAGTGCCCGGGTGTAAGAGCCAACAGATCAGGGTCTTTGAACATTGGCGCGAGTGGCCGCGAATTCAGGCACGCCTCGATCTTCGCCAGGGGAGTAGCCAGCTCCTCAAAGGTGTATTTCCGCGTGACGGTGGACTTGTAGAACAAGGTGTTAAAGCTCTTGACCCCTGCTTCCCACAGGCCCTCCATGTGGGGAGCTCCCGGAGGAATGAAATGCCAGAGAAGCTGCTGGTGACAATAGACACCGGTCACAGCCCCTTTTATGCTATGATGAAGGTCTTCCCGTTGTCCGACTGCACTTGACGGCACATCCACTCCGAGACATCCACTCCACTCGCCAGAAATTTCTCGGTTGTAAGGTCCGACGTAGGCGTAGGCGGAGCGGTGGCGAACGGATTGCCGCGGTGTGTGGAGGGAGGGTGTGGTGTCGGCTGTGGCATGTGAAGCAGGTATGGGCGCTCGTGCCGTCTCGCTGCTGGTGCCCTCGGGCAAAACAGTTTAAACATAACTGCTTCCTCTTAATGTAGTCAGAGCACCCATTTACGTCCATCTCTAGGAAACGCGGACATAAGCGAATGGGGTGGTTCTCCCTCGAACAGAGATCGCAGCCCCTTTGGCGCGGAACCACTCGATCCTCCCAATTCTCATATGAATTGAGCCTCTTAGCAGGGGCAGTAGGAAGTCCCGAGCTTGGCGGAAATTGCCCGGAGCCACTAGGCCTGACGTCGTCGATAGCCTCCAGAGTACGATGGCGCTTTGTCAGGATGGATTCTAATTCCTTCCATGTTGGAATTTCAACCTTATTATGTACGGATTGCTCCCACATAGAAAGTGTGACTTTGGGGAGCTTTGGGGAAATCATAAATACCAGGAGGCAGTCCCAAGCCTCAACGTTGATGGAGGACATTTCTAGGGCTGTAAGACAATTCTGAATGGTGGCTTGAAGCTCCTTCAGCGCGACCCCGGACTCTTGAGAAATATCCTGGATGTTGAAAAGGATCTTCAACTGGCTGTTGACCAATAGCCGCCGGCCACCGCCAATAGTTCTCATAGCGGTCTGTGAGGCTTTGCCATGCGGCGACAAACCCCTCATGGGTAAGCGGAGCCTTAGAAACAATGGCGTGGGCGTCACCACTTGTTTTGGACAGTAAGTGGAACAACTTCTTTACCGGGGTGAGGCGCGAGTTTTGGATGTAAATGGCCGTAAACAAGTCTCTGAAGGTGGGCCACCGAAGATAATCAACCGCGAAGACCTCGGTATCCACCGGAGGTAACCGGCAGTCTGTAGACGCGGGCGTGTGTACATTGACGGAAGCCTGAGTGGATTGGGAAGCAATTTTCTCCCGAAGCTGGGCAATACACCTCGAATAGACGGAGTAAAAGTTGCTGTACTTCGCTTCCAGCACTGTCGAGGCGGCCGCATTGTCGTCGAACACGGCTAGCAAATCGGAGCAGCTCTCATAGCTCTTCCCCACCTTCTCCCACAGTGCCCGGATTTGGTCCCGATGAACTTCGCACATGTATTGGGAGCCTATTTCCGTTTCTGAGGCACCCGGAGTATTTATGTTTGCCTCAAATTGACTAATTCGATCTGTTGTGGCGATAAACTGCTTCAGCGCCACTTCGAACACACTTGGAGCCATTTTCGCAACGGAGCGAGTGTGCCTCTGTGAAGGACCGGGGATTGTATTGACGGATTCGTCACTTTTGCCCTTGGAATGACTCTGGTTGTCTTAGGCTTCAAAAGAGGCGTCCGCGGAGATGCGGATTGAGATCTGTCAAAACGGATGTCTGGGATCGGCGCGGCTTTTTGTCGTCTCCCGTGGGCATTCTCACAATCCAATTCACTGGTATCACTTGCGCAATAGGTGCTTCGTACGAAGCGGTGGCCGGTCACGCTAATGTGATGAGAACGGTGAGATCGCCGATGAAATACGATTACAAGGAACAAGTGGGAGCTAGTGGCGCCGACGTCAAAAGGAAAGTCGTGTGCGGCACAATTCGAATGTGGAAAAAAACTTCAGGAACCAAAAAAAAAAACCAAAAGGAGACGAGGTTTGTTGTGAGTGTAGGCGGATGTTGCCTGATGCGGAGTAAAAGCAGCTTTAGAATCACGGAAAATGGACAGGTACCGGAAAATTCGTGCTCGTTCGGAAAAAAAATTTATAACGATCTATATATGTGTATTTATACAAGTGTGACTCGTACGTAGATATTGAATTCTTAGCTATTTTCGAACTTGCGGAGCCGGAGAGGTGGACTCGTCTTTGGATTGGATTTAAAACACAAAAAAATAAATAATTAATAATAATTAATTTTTGACTTATTGTTGGTTTTAATTATTATGGAGCCGGAAGGGTGGTGTTAAAACCTTAATCTTTAATTAATTGAATTTAATTAACCCGAAGCCGGAAAGGTGGAATTGAAACCGCGGCTCTATTCGGACAGAAGGTTGATAATTAAATTATTAATAATTTTCGACTTTAATTATTGAGTGGTGAATTAAACAAAACTGGCCCTTCACTAGAACGGAAAATAATAATTTAATAAATTGTAGTAGTTATAATTATAAATATATAAATTAATAATTAGTTGATTTTTTTTTTGAAGTTATTTGTTACGCAGACGGGTATGCACCCTGTTAGTAGTTCACTCGAAAGGAAAAAAAACAGCACCAAAAAAAAGGAACAGGAAAGGAACAGCACCATTCTCAACCAACGGCTAGGTTGAGAATTTAAGCGAAATTATCGGATTTGTAGTGAAGTGGCGGTTTATAATTATTGGCTTTAAGAAAATTTAATTATTTTTTTTTAATCTTTTCGGTTATATATTTCCTGAAATTGGAGGTAGAAAATTTATGGAAATATATGGACATGCATGCAAGTACGGATATATGAAAGGGCATGTGGGGCATATGTTGGCACAGTGAAGCGTTGATAAGTGAACTCTTTTACTGGGGAAACAGAAAACTTATCTGGTGTAAAAAATGACACTGATTGGGGAAGAAAAAAAACAAATATTACGACAGCGGCGGACTGTTCTGTGAATTTGGAAATTTCCGGAACTAATTACCACCGGCTGGCCAATATTAATTATGCACACAATTTCACAGTTCACTTGCAAATTTTTTTGCGGATTAATTGCACCAAAAAAATTAATGTGTGTATGTATTTATATGGATGAACATATGGCTCGACCGTTGGCAAGCGAATGGATAATTTGCAGAATTTGAAGACGAAGAAGAGTAGAAAATTTCAAACCGTGTCAACTCGGACTTGGAGTTGACACGGAAGGAAACAAAAAAACCTTCAAGCAGTGTGAACGAAATTTAATGTTCGGACCACTGCTGAAGACCGGCAGAGAGACGGAGACGGAAAAATGTCGTACTTATCTTTTGGCGGAACAATGTCGGGAACTGCTGGTAGAAAAATATCCAGGAAAATCCAGCTCGAAGGACCAAAATGTTGTAGGGGGGCGATGCTGCGATGCTGCCGCGATCGGCGATGCTGCCGCAAAAAGATCCAAGTGGCTCGAAAAAGAAAGAATTCGGGGGCGTCGTGAGGTTTGGTTCGGTTCAAAAACGCATTCAGCTTTATTCGCTGCTTACATGGGACTAAAAACTTAACTTAGAAAAATAAACGGACGATCGACGACGGCCGACGAGCGAGAGAGAGTGCGCAGAGAAGCGAGCGCGGATGCGCTCTTCAGTGCGGGTGCGCTCTTCAGCGCGGATGCGCTCTTAAGCTCAGCTAAGCGGCCCAACGGCCCCTCACCTAAACAATTGTTTATATTGAATTAAATGTTAACAAAACTTTAATTAAACTGGCGCAGTCTGAAACGAACCTAAAACATTAAAATACCCACTTAAGTGCGGTATTGAGCGAATTGGTGTTTGTATGTAATTTCATACTTTCAATGTGCAAAAAAACACATAACCTGAAAAGGCACGTTTGATAATGAGATTCCCAAGTGTGTGTACAGAGAAATAAACCAACTAGGTGTTTTCGTGCATCGGATGTTTGCTGCATCCCGTACAACTTCGTGTTTTACCTATAAACGTCTTGTCAAACATCATCAGCGTGCCGGTACTTAAAACTGTAATCCGCTCTGTATCTACCAAATGTGTGACTGTGTGTGAGTCTGTGTGAGTCTAAGTCTCAGAGTAGAGATCTACTCTACGCGGGCCTAAAATTAAAAATTTTGAGGCCGATTTTGAGGCCCAAAATTAAAATTAAATCGGGCTTTTCGGGCCTTTAGGGCTTTTGGTAGCAGGCCCGAGCCCGCATTTGTTTGTCGAGGCCCGTCGGGCCTCAGGCCCGACCCGCCCCGTACCCATCTTTATCTCAGAGTCTCTAATCTCAGAACGAACTTATTCTGTTCACAAGTGGTTCGATGACGGTTTTCATTGATCAGCGACGAGAATTTACGGAACTATTTATATTACTTATTGTAAGTTCAATAAAACTCGGCAGCTATTTTTACGCTATTTTTTAGCGATAGCAAACGATTTTACCTTACCGTTTGGGGACATTCTTAAGGATGCCCACTACATTCACGAGTACAGAGGAGAAAACTCAAGGACTCTATCATTATTTAGTCATGAAGTGGTGACGATATTTTCATTATTACTTCCC